TGTGTTTTATCAGAATATATTACGATCTGTCGAATGTTTACTGAACAGCATATTCAATTAAACACCACCTTAAACTAGAGGTCCAGCTGGGATTCAAGTGAGCCTGTCATTCACACCAAACGTGTGTATTCCAATGCAGCAAATCGGCCGCGATGAAGGACAAAGTCACAAAATGAAGATTTATTTAGATCGCTATCATTCCTAGCCAGCAAGAGCTAGTTTGAGAACTCACAGATGTGGCGGAATAGCCTACCAACGTTGTTTGAAACCAACTATCTAACGTGACGGCTATTTCGTGAATGTAGATCAGTAACATAATATTTTGCCATCATAAAGATCCAGCCAGCCGTTCGATTCTAGAGGCGCAATCGAATAGTGAGCCACGACTTCTTTACCTGGAGGATATGTTTTCCTTTGGGTAATAGATGTGTTTCAGATTGAGTTTCATGAATTGTAAACAACTCTAATCAACACCATCGTACTAGTGGTCAGGGTTGTTCGATAAGCTTTGTATTTTGTTGTTAACGTTTCTTCGCCGATCGTGGTTGAATCAGTGCTTTTAATGTGGTGGAGAAGAGCCGTGCATTGAGTAGTATTTTCCGCGAGTAACCCCCGATTATGATTGATTGTTTCGCTAGATAATCCTACTGATTGGATTTTTCTTTTATTCTGATTGATCGGCGTCCGGGCGACCTTTGAACTTGACCTCTCTGGTTTGTGCCCTGTAAACTTGGCTGGACTAGTCCCGCGGTCGATCCTGTCGTCTAATCCGCTTTGTATAATGTTCGGTCGTGTTTGCGTCACGCAACTCAGTTCACGATCTCTTGCCCGCTGAGGTGCTTAGATTGGGTGCAGTTCAATGTGTTGGTTGACTAAGTTCGTTGTAGGTAACCACGCTTCCAGAATTGTGTTGCGCGAGTACATATCCCCCATTTCGGGTTCGGACAAAAAACAGCTCGCCTGTAATAACCCTACAGCAGGACACTGAGCGTTTAACCCTCGGTGTGAAATCGGTTTTGATTACCAGCTAAGCTGGTCATATATAATTGTCCAAGCAAAACCACAGCAAATCATTCGAATGAAGCGGAAACGCCCTATTTGTGGTTGGAACTTAAACCAGTTCATTCACATCGCTAGAGAACGGAATAAACGAAACCGGTTTGCTTTGTGTACAGATTCGGCCAATATTGTAAATGAAACAAGTACCCCACTTCACAAGTGCAAAATCCCGTGGGGATGTGCTTAGCTTTTAGTATCGAAGGATACAAATGGCGAACTCCCAGTTTGCCCTACTGGTACCTGCAGTCGTATCAAGGTCATTTGATTACTACAAACGCGTGATCCCGCAAAGTAAAGTAGCCCTTCATTAGTACTGGAATTCTTCAGGTCGGCATACAGGGTGCGGCCACGTAACCTTATTGTAAACATTTTCAGACTGTCCCACTAGACCTTGCGCCGCCATATGAGCGTGGTAATAATTTTAACGTTGGATATATCAGCATCCAATATCATCGTCTTTAAGTCGTGTCAGTTCGGCCAGTAGGGTTAGGTGCTTTGACTGTTTCTCGTTGAGTGCCGTGTAAAAATGCCGGTATTAGCTCCTACGACTCAAGAAAGACCGCCCTGAAGGTTGTGTGGCATTTCCGCTGCGTATGGTTGGTAAAATCTTCAGCAGTCACAGAATCTGTCAGGAGCGATTTCCAATACGATACAGTAGGACCTCCAGATTGGCCACTTTGGTCAGTCACGGTACTTATAAAATGACTTTCCACTTTTTTCGGTAAGAGTAGCAAGGCTAATTTGGTCACCACATCACTAATCACACTGTTTTCTATCATATATCTAATAACAAACCTGGTCGCAATGAGCATTTTAAATTCGCGGAGAAGCACCGTGCAGTGACAAACCCTCTGGAGCGACCGTTTTGACAAGCACCATCAGTGATTATAATCGAGACACTTTAAAACGACAGAGCACACAAAAAGAGCTATGTGTGAGACCATTGGCCCTTCTCAGTCCTTCCTATGTGGTTTGGTTTGATACTACCTGGAAGTTGTTCTGGGATAGCGTTGCAGTCGAAACCAGGATCATCCAGAACCGTTGAACAAGAGTTAGCAAAATTTTTGACCTGAGAAGCACAAACAAGTGCCCAGTGAAGAATATGACCACTTCAGCTAGTCGAGTTTAGGGGGACAACGCAACCCGAACCTTTGTGTGGACAAAAAAGCTTGGAATACAGGCCCTGCGACAGCTGTGGACGAAACTTCAGTGTGTGAGCGGATCGATCTTTATCAGAAAGCTGTCAGCCTTGGCCATGTCTTGTATCACATCAGATCGGTCTTTGCTGCATTTCTGAGCCAGAAGCCATTTAATTTTAGTCCTTAGAAAATGTCGCTTCACAAAAACCTCATGGAGAAATTGTCGGTTTCGGCGTGTTGCTCAAATCCAAGCCGCATTTTCTCCCATTCATTTACTAAAGCAAACTACCGTTTGAGATTCATCCATTAGGTCTCCTTTTGCCTTTTGATATGCCGTTCGTTTGGAGTTTTTCAGTAGGCTTACATGGTAATATGGCAGTCAAGCAGCGGTGTCCGCACACTGACGTTGCTGTCTGTGGTGGTGATGCCGATGCACTCAAACATACAAGTCCGTCACGTGTCATCAGAGCCAATTACACAACCCACCGACCAACTTGGGGCAAGACGTTACTGCATTTCTGTTTTACAGCGACCCCTTGATATTCTCACACACCATACATAGTTTCCCCTACATAGTGCAGAACGTTCATTCAGCGATTATCATGTTAAGCTTCAAGTTCCACTGGCTTGCAAGTTGGTGGACGCTACCGTTAAGGGTACAACTAGACTTCGCGTTCGCCACGCCATCTGGCCATTGACAAACGAGTATCAAATGTGCTGCTTGCCCTCGAAAACGGACTAGTCTCTCCTAGAGAATTCTGGGGTCGAAATTTTCTCGCAGTCATCGGGAAGTGTTCTATCCATCAATCCAGTAACACTCAAGTGGTCCAAAGACAGTAGTTCCTTAGGAAATGGGCTCATTAATGGAGGATAGTGTATGGGATCTTTATCGGTAAACTTTCGGAACAACAAAACTTTCTTGTTACTGAGGTGGTTGCTACTTCGGGCTTTTTAGGACCCACTGGAAGGAAGTCGTTCGGCTTTTTCGCGGTGGCTGGTTAGGTGGAAATATTATGTTACGACCTCAGTTGTCAATACAATGAAGACACGGCCGTGATGTCTGTGTCTTTGCTTACCGCACTCCCGAGGGTGATCGGTACTCCCATCGGTTCGCGTTAATCGGTTTCCAGTCAACGACACAATGACTGCATTCCTGTTAACAAAGAGGTGTACCACAAAATAGGGTATATGGGCTACACAATCTAGTTGCATCAAACTGTTCACGGTTGGCCGACATAGGGTCTGGTGTTGTTGAACTCTATCAACAATCTATTCGCTTTTTTCCAGTGCGATCGGCTCCTCGGTTTATGTGGCGACAATCCATAAGCAACAAAAACAGGGAATCCGAATTCGAGTGGTGCCGGAAACAACCGTAACACCAGTATGGCGGTCGAAATGACCAGACTCTTAACTGATGTGTTATTCTTCCACGCAATTCTCATCACAACAATATAGGTGAATGAGGAAAAACAATTTCAAAAGTTCTGTTTTAAGTCGGGACCAACAGGTAATGTTTTTTATCACAGTTGCTTCTGTCGTTTACATGGCAAAGGATTGGGTTACTTAAATTCTGTGAAATGGAGGAGGCATGGTAAATCGCCGGTCCTTACACCTTAAGGTAAAGTTTACATCGGGTGGACATCTCGATGAACACCTTCCTCAATATTATCCGGTTCATGCACTGATTCCGTTTGGAATTGTTCGTTTTCGGTGGCCAGCGGTTCGGCGTAACGCATTAGAGACGTCTGAAATCAGTTGAACAAAAAAGGAATACGTTTTTTGGAAGAGCCGCTTGAAACAAAATACCACATCACCAACGGTTATATCCACGATGGAGTATGAGAAAGCAGAGGGTCTATTTCGGCAAAGCCTACACAGGTTGTAATCTTTGAGAAAACGTTGCAATTGTGCAAGGCTAATGTACTAGGTATGCATCCATGTCAGCAATGTGGTACGAATAAGCTTATGAGCTTCCTATCCGAGGGGTCTTCCAATATCAGGTCAATTGAACAGGATAGAGACTGGTGCTAAATGCTGCCTGCAACGCCGATTAGCTAATCGTCACTGAACGGTAAACTGTCCGAAGTGTCTGTGGATGCACGCGCCTCCAGTGATTCCCAACAAAAATGAAACACAATGTTTCTCAGTTTTTCGCCTTGGGTAGACTCCACTGACATGATGAAATCCAAAGATGAAGCTTGAAGTACCTTCCACAAAATAATCTAGCATGACAAACCTACCCATCAAAAGCAGTTCTCTGTGTACTTGTGGCTTCCCTAGGTGTTAATCGAGAAACGCCGCTTCAATTGATTAGTAGTTATTGAAAATGTACGTTTAGTATTCGTCTGAAAGTTCGCCATGTCGAAGTTTGTTATAATTCAGTGGACTTGAAATAACATTCAGCTAACATTCCTCAAGCAAGTCTTGTGTCGTAGTTCAGTTAAGTTCATCCCGAGAACTATGGACCGCAAACGTACGTACGGCAGTTAGAAGCGTCACAGCTACTGGCAGAAAAGTGTGAAATGAAATGGGATCGGAATGCACGTCATCGTGTGACGCGAAGGATGTGACTGAAAGATGAATGGTGATATATCTTGTCTGGGTGTGAGCAGATCGGTCGCTGCTAACCGGCGTCTTCAACTAATGGCAGGAAGGCCGCGAAGTCGGAGCACCCCCCTTGGAAATTCGTGAGAAGCACACGGTTGTACACAGCACAACTCTACAATGCTTCTCAGCATTCGGGTATAGACTGACGTCACCTACAGCACCGAAAAATAAATAAAAACTTTGTGGTTAAGAATAAGGGGGTAGATATTATAACCTCACTGGTTGCTTAACATTGAAATGTCGGCGAGTAGCTCCAACCACTGAAATCTCAACCCTGGAAGCAATGTATACCGGTACTGCACGATCCATCGGTGTTTTTTCATACTCCGTCTGCATGTCACACACGTCTTGTGATATCTTGCGCTCAGAACCTGATTCAGCAAACAAGACACGGCAAGGTAATTGGCCAACTGGCGCGTGAGACACACTGCTAGACCAACGAATTCCACGGAGCTAACAGACAGCTGATTTATTGCCAAAACAGTTCGTCACAATTCGGTGTTCCGAATCCGATTTTCTCATGATACAGTTATAATGCCTAAAATAGGCACCGGTTGTTAAAAACGAGCAATCTGTTATCTGCAGCATACAGTGGCCATGATTCACAACTGAAAAGCTACCTTTCACTGACAGTCTAATGTCAGGTTGACCCTGGAGATGTCTAGGTTGAAGAAAGGTAGACCGAAGCTAACACTCACTTCATCACCACTACCGTCATCTGATCTGAGGCAAATTCGTCTACTGTCTATAGTGGATCTGATGCCATGACCAGTGTCCTGAAAAGAGCACTCTGGAAACGCAAAGTGCCTACCGAATGACACGGCGACGTTATCTATAGTCTAGTGTACATTTTGTATCTAGACCACGTAACGCAATCCTATATGGGCACTACAAGTCTTTAAGCTCTTTTTCGGCAGAAAGCTACACGCCAGGGATAGAAGATACGATGAGAACTTCTTCAATATTAATTCAACTACGGAGCAGAAGAGTAAACATGGCAAAGGATGGCCTTGAATAAAGTCGCTCTTGATGAACTCAGGTTGATATTCTGCGTAGTACACTACCGCTGTCACATGTAAACGCACCCTCGTGTATCACTACGCATCGGAACGCTGTTTACATTGTAAGAACCGTCGTATCCTCTGCCACTGCGTACTCATAATCGGGTCCAACGCATCACACCGACCGATGGATTCGGTGTGCTCTATATCCTGATGGTATGTTTGGCATAACATATGCGCACGTTATTGATCATTCTGATGAGTTTCGCCTGCAACCAACCAAACCCGTTGTGGCTTCAGTAGATAACTGCAAGTATGAGCTGATAAATAAGGGGTGAATCACCCGATTAGACCAACTTGTTTCACCATGCATGGACCTCGACCACTACTAGTCTAATGGTGCGCACAGTAGCATAGAACTCAGCGTGGTATTCTGAAGCGAGTCAGGAGAAAAAGCATACACAAAGGTTACGATCACCATTATATTATCAATAAAGTAAAAGGTTTGATTTTATGATACCAGTGCATCGATTAACCAGGCAGACTTGTAAAATGTGCAATGGCCCCAGTCGATTCGACGACTCAGGGTGGTTGCGCAGTTTGCATAAGAGTTTGCATAAAATAACGCTGCCAAACTTCAACAGCTCGACAGGGATGTTATTAACTCCTTCATATGCTTCAACTAATGGGCACTGGTATTGCGCCCAAATCGCTCAACATTTGAGACTGACCACTACAGTAAGCTCATGTGATGAATTGCGAGTCCACGATATAACTTGGGAAATATACAAGTCTAGATTCAATCAAAAACCTGTGGAATCATGACCGTCTAGACTTCCTAGAAGGCTCTGAGCACACTGGATCGCCCCCATGATGAGTAGACAAACCGACCCAGAAATCCTTCTCGTTCCACCGCCATGCTCAAGACTGAAACTTCGATTCTATTGGCACCGGTGTCTATAAAGTTATTTCAGAATAAGTCTAGCTTTCGAGTCTAAATGCGACACAGGAAATATTCCATAAGCAACGAACAGAAAAATGATTTGCTATCATTGTTATCATCGACCTAGCCAAAAAGATACTCCCTATTATTTGTCGATCAGCTGTCAGTCGTATATCTGGCCTACAACAAGAGAGGGCACTAGGTGACTAAAAATGCTGTCAAACCATATTCCAACTCATCAAGCGGGCTCGGTAAGCGTCCCAGTTCTGTGACAGAAAATAAAAACGATATACTTACTTCGCTTCCTATTGTTAGTCTGGATTGAAGAACCCTACTGCCGAAACATCCACACTGCTGATAACTTCCCTAAGACAACAACAAGGTAAGGGTGAGACTTTGACATATAGTGGAGAACACTGTTGTGAACTCTCCGGGAGAGTAGCCTTTTTTCGGAGGGGCCCCTGCAACCTCCTCCCATATCTATCTATCAGATAATCGGGGGCCTTATAATGAGAAATAAATCACTAACCCAACTCATCAGATTCGAACAACAACTGATGGCAATTAAATGGAAACCGAGACTATTGACAAGCAAACCACGGTTAAAATCATCGTACTCATGTACAGTTCACATGAATTAGGAGTATACAGTGCGCGTGATTTCCTAATGGTTCACACTGGGTTTGTGCTTGAGTAACAGCGTCCTTCACAAGGAAAGTGATAATACCATTCTTGACCAAATTTGAATTGCCGCTGTGTCCATAATCTCCTGATTCATGACTCAACTAACACCAGCTGGACTGCCAAATGTAAAAACTACCTTCCAATAACATCGTCCGTTTGCGTGTAGCTTTCGTATGAATCGGAACATTCGAAGGACACTTTCTAACCAGCGTAAAATATGGTGTATTACTGCTAGTTGGAGTTGATAGCTACGCAGTAAATACAGTGGCTGATATCGTTGATGTACAACTCCAGAATTGACAGTGGGTTCTTCTAATGGTGGAGTGGTCGGGACGGGAAAGCGCAAATGAAAGGCAATAGCTAGAGTGTAGGTATATCAGCGCTAGGCTGAGTCATTCTCGCCAGCGTTCCCAAGCATTAATGTCTCCCTCCCGAAGTACTCAAAGGGAGCAGTAATGGCAAACAATGCTGAGTTTGCTGCGCTTTCATACCTCGCTACTAAATCGTAGTTTGACCCCCTTACTCGCTTCTACTCTCCGGATCGTTTTGCGAAGGCTGTCTCAGAAATTCGATCCAGTGTAATATGAAGCATGTGACCAACCAATCGAGTGCCATCAGCTCAGTAACCTGTAGGAGTTATTTTCGCTAAAAACCATTCGGTGTACTTCTGCATCACTGGTCCCATTTTCCTACGAAACTCATTCAGGGGGGGGGGTGAAAAAGCCGATGGTAAAAGACGTCCTCGGCTTGGGGTTGCTACGTTTCTGACCCACACAGTGATATGAAGCGCACTACATCATTGTACACTCGATCCCGAAAGGCCAAGACGCAAGTCTACGGAAGAGTGTACAGGTTGGAAAAAACCGCATCACCCTTCCTTATCCGTATGACAATGTCATCTTCGACTAAGGTGAACAAATTAGTCTACCGCCTCAACCAGTTTTGCAGTAGCACTGCAAGTGTCAATCATCACGGAGAAAAAACGGGTGGTATTTTGCCCTTAGCTCTAATTTCGTTCAAGAAACGTGCGTTTGGGCTTGCAGAGGTCAAAATATTACAAAATGAACGGCGTGATGACAAAACACATGCATTCAAGAAAATCCCCGTCATTGGCTGCCACCCCACTGTGAGGCTTTGCTGTACGGCCAGGTCAAGCGCGCCCGAATAGGAAGGTAGAAAAAGCTCTCGCCTTTGGTTCCCTGCTAGCGGTAATTCAGATCAACTTACGGCTTTCTATTTTTCACCAGACTTAAAAACCAACCGACAAGTTGAAGTCAGTATATTGACAATCGAGACCAAATGACCACAACGCGGAAAAGAGGTCCAAAGTGAGAAATGCAAGCGTCTCCCACACTTCCTCATATCAAGTGACCTTCAAAAGCTGTCTGAAATGAGCTCTCCCTGGACTTCAAACTACGTATGAGCCAACCGATTCGGTTTGTTTCTGGTTCCAAATACACTCACCTAAGACCCTCCACAGGCGATTGAGCGTCAGTTCGTTTCTGGTTTGTCTAAAGGTGACAGTCCATACAACTTCGAACTAAATTTATGCTCATTAAAAAATGAATTATGTATGAGCACAACCGTTCGACACATCGATCATAGTACGCGCTTCACGTTCAATCGAAACAATAGCACATCAATAACTAAAAGCAGGGCAAACGATCCACTATTGGCTATTCCAGAATGGACCCGAGCTGTACATACCCCGAAGCAACCAGGTAACGTGGACAGAGGTTGACAGCAGAAGTGGCCAGGAGCAAAGGGGTCGTTTAGACTCCATCAGATGAATCACATCGACAGTACCAAAAGTTTTCGTAATTTCCTTGATGGCTCGTCAGACTATACGCTGTTCATCTCTGAGTCCACCCCACTCAACAACACAGAGAAAACAACCTTCTCGCGGACTGACGTAGTGCAAGGCGCTTTTTACACTGTACGCACAAGTGAATTTCCTGCTATGCTATCTGATGAGTCAGTTGGGAGTTCTATGATGCCGATCTGTAAAAGTTGTGGTTCTAAGATAAACGGTATCAAACGCCTGAATACGCCTTATTCCTCGTTCCTTCCACATGACACAATAGTATTCACGGCTGAACACAGTTGCTCCAGTAGATGGCTCCAACCCTATGAACTATACGGGAAATATGAGTAGGTCCGCAATGAAAAGTACACCCAAAATATTTATCCTGTCCTAAACCACACAAACCTAGTTCGACAAAATCAGCTGATGTTGAGCCCGTGAGATCTTCCAGTTTTCTAATCCTATGTTTATTAACGGAACTTTAAGGGGAAATGCAAGACAGCTTGCCTCGATCTGACTTTGTGGATATTTAAAGGAAGCCAAAAGAACTGTGTATTTCTCCAGAGAGTGTCCCAAAACGCGTTTGTTTAAACCTGTTTTTCGTCCACCAATCACGTGCATCTTGTGTAACTTAAGCCCATATGAGCTGGAGTGCAAGAACGACACAAACGGTAGTGAATACGGAGACTAACCAAGGGGTAAATGTGTAAAAAGTGGTCATTAGAGCGCCGCGGTTGTAATAAATATCGCTAGACCGCGTTCTCTGTTGTCGATGCTAAGTACCATTAGGTTTAGCTCATGACAACTGTTGACGATTTAGCTACACACTTAAACGGCATACCCTAGTTTCATGTGATCACTTCCTAGGGGATGGTGAGTATGATCCCAACATAAAGACTGGGTTTCAATAGCTTTGGTGCGAAAAGCGTCCCCCTAGACTTTGTTTTGAGAAGCCATTTCACAACGAAATACAGCCTTATGAGTAGTGGGACAAAGTTGAAAAACTGAAGCACCATCCCAGTCGGTAGACTCAAAAGTGAGACACACTGGACCCGCAAGCAAACAGAATCGAGATTTAAGTACTTCGGTTACTCGGTTTGACCAGCTTGTCAAAATAACGCGATGGGGTATGGTTGCCGTCACGCAAACGGCTGATTGGAACCGCAGTTGGGAACTAAATGTCGAGTAAAGACTAAAGACGGTAAGGCAATCCACAACTGGCGCAAGGAGGTATCTGAAACAGATGCGAAAATATCCCCTTTCAATGGAACAACGATCACGAACTGAGCTGTTCTGTGGGGTTGTTGAAAATGAATTAAACTAAATAGCTTATCCTTCTTATTCAGCTTGTACGATTTTCTGAAAAGATGTAGGGCCGAATCCAGCCAACGATTTGTGAAATACAAACAAGCAGCAATCGGACGGCCTTAGTTGGCATTCAGTTGGGCTAACGCAATAAAAAAATTTTGCCACCATGTACACGGCATCGACCGGTTTTGTGAAAAACAACTGCTACTTGGGTATGTAAACCTACAAGCGTAAGCACCAAATGTGACGAAATAGCTTGTTCAGCCTTCCCCATATTGTAGAAACTTTTGACAGACTATGCATCAGCGCCCACCGGCAGAATCTATCCCACTGAACATCAGGATATAGAAAAACAGGCCAAGAGGAGCTTACACTAGTCAAAAGGTGTTGAATCGTCCGTCCGAGTTGAACCATTGACCAGCACATCACCCTCCGCTATCCCGCCAGGCTCCTGCCGGTCCGCAGCTATCGGTATTTCTGTAGGAGAGCGTGGGCGTCCAGGATCCGTTGTACAACATCCAGATAACATAACATTGAAGCTGTCAGGAACGGGTACGGCCTCGTCCACCTCTGCGTAAGAATCGGTTGTGACAGGCAGTCGGAGATTCGTGGGGACACCTTCACCGTTGACTGAGAAATGGTTTCGCAATTGAACAAAGGCCCAGTGTCCTCGTGCTGAGCGAAGCTGGGAGAAATAGGAAATGTCAAAATTCCTACAGGACTTCGATAAGGAACTAGTCTGTTGACGGAACAAGGATTCAACCTAAAACCTGAGTGACTTCGTGTGACGACCGCAACCGCCATAATTTTAGCATAAACGTAGGCGGGAGTTCGACTTTCGAACAAGCTACCGTCCGGTTGAACTTTCATTCTGATCCATGGAAAGTGTCCGTATAATGGAGTTGCCGACACCAGCGCCATCTGGCTACAGAGGCTCTAGCGTAGCTTTGTGCGGTAGGGTAGAGGCTTCAATGTTAGGCTGACCTGTCACCGAAATACGGTTCTACCTAATCACTTAATGAGCAATGCAGCTTCAATAACTGCGGGGACAACAGGCAATTTCTCAGTATAGTTTGACCCAACAAACTGTGGGCATAGACGATCACCACCAACGACTGAACCTCTCCGGAGAGCCCACATATCAAACGGAGTGAAAAGTTGAAAAACACTTGGAACCGACTGGGTAGTCATCGTTTTCGAAAACGTCTGGTGACAATCGGTAGATTCATTGCTTGGCAACGTTTCGCTTTTGACACAAAAGCTTCGTCAGGCCAAGTGACTAGGTTCCGAGGTTGGTGGAGATTTAAGATGGAAGGAGAACCAATCAGCTAAGTCAAGCTACATCTCTGTTGGGTGTCGGTCGAGGGATTTTATAGATCTGGAGAATGTGGAAGTTTTAAGACGGCGGTGGAAATTACTAAGCCTCACAGCGTGAATAGAATCCAGGGTGTGGAACTGGCGATCGTATGGAAAGCGGTCTTAGATAAGCCGAGTTGACACGTGACGGTGTGGTTGTCAATCCACGTAGGATCATTAGAAAAACCGGGGATAGGGGTAGAAACCTCAATCCGACCAAAGTTCATAACACCCCTCTTACACAACTATCCTAGCGCTAGCTCATCCACACAGACAGACAGAAAATTCAAACGGCGTTCAAGAGGGAACATCAAATGAACCGAACCACAACTAGACCCTAGGCTGGACCCAAACACGTGTAGGTTTCCCCACCGACCCAGTACTTGTTCAACCACTCCAACACACTAAAATCCCTCGACCGACACCCAACAGAGATTTAGCTTGACTTAGCTGATTGGTTCTCCTTCCGCCTTAAATCTCGATCAACCTCGGAACCTAGTCACTTGGCCTGACAAAGCTTTTGTGTCAGAAGCGAAACGTTGCCCAGCAATAAATCTACCGATTGTCACCAAACTTTGTCGAAAACGGAGTCAAGTGTTATATCTGTTGGTTCGCTAATCCGTTGTATCTGACTGCTGACCCGACTGCAGTGTCTAGTGCCGGACTCATTGCCTCCATGAAATGCCTGAACAGTGATCACATTCAGTCGTGCTTCTGTGGCATGCATGAGGACTCATTGGCTTTTGCTGAATTGATTGAATGATTGACTGGCCTGCATGTTCGCTGACTATGCTGTTGAAATTTTGGTGGAGCAGTAGGTTCGGGGCGTTCTGAGGTTGCTTTCAGGAATCTGATCTTCCTGATACCTCCCCCTTTTGGCCGTTCAACGTAAGAATGTCGAAGCGTGTCAAGTTGTAAAGGTTTCATCAGTTTTTTAATGCGACCGGTACGACGTCTCGGTTGAAGCAATAGATCTGTCTTGGGCCGTACATGCGACGCAGTGGCTATAGGTGCTGGTCTTGGGAGATCAAAGGTTTCAAGCAGCAGGTTGAGGTTTAGTAAATGTTCTTCCGCCCTTTGGATCGGGCACTCAGACGGCCGTAATTGACTGATATATCGTTTCCATATCAATAATCTTACCTGGACGCTGTAAATCACCTGACCGATTCTTTTGAGGATGACTCCAACAGTCGGTTTTCGGTGCCCGGGGTGATAGTCTATAACAAGCACACGTTTTCCAGGCCTGAACGATGGTTTTCCTGTCGGTGATTGAAAAAAGTGTTGGCCAAACCTTCCACTGTTCGTGGTGACATTGGTCAGTCAATTTGGACGCACTGACCGAAATACGGTGGCCTCTTGCAGCAGCGTTTTGTTTCCAGGTTGGTACTCGTTTAGTTATCGCGGATTATGCCTATGGCTGCTTTCGTACGGCGTGTGCCAAGATTGAGGTAACACTGAAGGGCTGTCTGCTTTAGGGCACCTGTAATAGATTTATCCACATAACTTCTGCTGGAAAGCGACCATCCAGAGACTGTGGATCGGGATTATAATTCAGAAGGAAGGTATCCAGGACTTCTGGCGTGGTCCCTTCTGCTTTTGTCAACGCGCGTTTAAAGGTATCAACGAACCGTTCAGTTTGACCGTTGAAATAGTGGAGCAGTCACATGTGTGATGCCGTGTCTTCGAGCGAATTCACCAAACTGATGGGATGTGAACTGAGTACCACTGTCGGACACAATAGTTTCCAGGATACCGAATGTTGAAATGGTTGTCATCGTTGTTCTCTCATGCAGGATAAGGAATTCAGGCCACCTAATGAGTGCATCGACAACGATGAGGAAGCTTTGTCCGTCAACTGGTCCCGCAAAATCCATATGGATGGGGGACCATGGTTATTCTGGCTATGGCCAAGGCTGCGGCAACTGTCGGTTGGGTAACTTCCGGAAAGCTGCGCAACGGAGAAAACTACGACATAGCTGCTCCATGTGCTCATCCATACCGAGCAAGCGCCTTCAAGCGGCTTATCCCTGGATGTCCGCTGTGGAACCCGTTGACGAAATTCGATGGGAACAATAATTCGGTCACCAAAGAGAAGACGGCCACTGACAAAAAGCAATAAACTCCACCGGAGTTCCCCTGATGGGGAATATGCTGTATGCAACATGCTGTCAACTTCGGTGGCATCTCGGACCTCGTCAAAGGTCACGGTTGGTTCATGGTCTCCAACAAAAAGTCTCCCTTCTCCCTTTCTCCACACACTACATGACGCGTGAACTGGTTGGAGAGGGGAAGACTGTCGCGAAGGGAATTTGTGGGCCAAACCACCCTCCGTCCGATGTTACAACACCACCATATGAGCCATAAAAAACCAACAGTGGTCACAAGTATCCGGAAAAGGTTTAATTATATGGAACAACAGGTTTTATGAAACTGTCTGCTGAAGGTTGGGGTGCCTGACAAATAAGTTCGGTTACAGAGGACGCTATACTACCAAACCTCGGAAAATGTTCGAGAGTCCGGCAAGCTGCTGCGGACTCCGCCATGTACAGTGAAAAGTGGGACAGGGTCTTACCATCTGTTTTTTCTTCTTGAACTTCGTACATGACAAACTTCACAATGTATTAGATAAGCAACAAAACCGAAATGTTGAATTTCTTCCAAAAACAGAATGGTTCATTCAGGGCTTGGTAATAGCATCTCGGCAGGTAACACCACGAAGTAGAATTTGTCTAATACCGGTAAGCAATTGAGGTTGGACGGTGCAGTGTGTGCCTTTCCTCTTCGAAATGCAGTCTTGTTCAGGACTTAAAAAGGCCTTTGGCTGCGCTTACCTGAAGTGGGGAGGCCGGATATAACCAGCATTTGTGTAGTTCAGGAATTGTTGTCAATGTTATTTGAGAAACTACCGCGCAAGTCACCCAAACCACTGATGCTTGCTGATTCAAAGTATCTGTGAGATGTGAAGCCAGCCTTTCTCTAAAAAAATAATGTTCGCTGCGTTAAACTGCACATCGTTTGCCCACCGAACTTGTTTGGAAGTCACTACCTGCGAACAATCCCAAGAGTTTGATGGCAACAACGCTGCAGTAGTGACCCAGTCCGCTAATGTTGAATGTTACAAAGTCCACCTTGAGTGAGGTTGTTTGGTTTCACTTAGTTGGTGAGACACGTCTGACGCACGCATGCGCAGTACCAACTGTACAACACCCTATTTAAGCGTGATGTATGTGGGTGGATGGGGTAACCACGATATGCCGAAGAGAGGTGAAGACGGAGGCTAAACGAACGGCTGTCGGGCAAACTCGAATTCCTGGATGAAATACGAAAGATCTTCCACTGAAAACAAGTCGTTTAAACCGTTTTTATACGAGACTGGTATTTTAGTGCGTGCCAATGCCTCATCCGTATTGTAGTCCGCCCCATACACCACTTTCGTGATCACAGAATGATATGGCCGATCAATCGTGTATGATCACCCCTTGTATGGATACATGAGTGACAATCAGTGGCATTGAGCACGTGTTCATAGTCGAATGTTTCAGTGTAGCACACGTTGTCATTAACCTTCTGCACGTATCCTCCACTCAACTCCATAAAGCCCCAGTTTTTCCTTCCACTCTTTCGTGTCCCTGACAACCCAAGCATCAAAATCAAGAAGAGGTAGTAATTTCAAGACGCAGATCTGATCAGGTCCGACAACTGAACGTATAATTTGTGTGATGCCGATAAATATGCCAAGTTTTGTCCTCAACAGCCGGAATCGGATAGCAATCATCCACAGTTTAGTCAGACCTGATCACAACTGCATCTTCAAGCGACTACCTTCTCTTTTTGGTCGATTTCAACGGCCGTTTTGGAATGGATTCGAAACCCTGGAAGATATTGAGACCCGGTGCAACTGAACTGATGAAGGACAACAGTGGAATACTACTAACAAAGTTCGCAACACTCGAACTTTCATTTACAAACATGTTTCAACGCTAGGCGAATACCACGCGGACTCATCCAATGAGTCTAAAGAGGCCACATACACCTAATCGAGTATATCGTTGTGCCACAAGCAGATTCCAAAAGTACACTGGCACCAAAAGTAAATGTGGAGATAACTACAATACGGATCAAACCCTCTCATAGACATATATGACGATTAGAAGGTAAGCACCCAGTATAGGTCCTATGGTATAACCAACATTTTTATTATCCACATGTTTCAGCAGAAAGGCTAAATGCATAGGGTGTATTTCACTGCGTGACTTGGTACAAAACGGAGGGTGTCTGCGGTCAAATACCAGGAGAATCGGTTTTAAACCGAATCGACGGAATCAACCTTCAGGTCTAGTCAGCAAAGGCTGATTTCTATTGTATGTCCTGTCATCTCAGGTTTCCGTTTAGATGATACCCAGGCGTTATCCAGGTTTTCGTTAAAAATGGAGCCAACAGCAGCGAGTGACGACGGTTGATTCCAGAGTTTTCAAAGGATGCTACAGACCGCCAACGGTGCGTGGAAACCTTGCATGTCAAGAGGAATCAATCATTCTCATGATCACCTGCTGTACAGCAAATCCATCCTAGATTTAGAAGAGTATCGTAGTCACCAACATCTGACCTAAATAATTTTACATATATTGTCTAGACGTAAGGCACTACTCATAAGGTTGCTGAAAACTCGACAGCCCACGACCTGTTTTGCCCATCCTGAGGCTCACGAAGCAGACTCAGTTCCCAAATATCTGTCAAGCTTATGTTCTACTTGAACACAAATTGGACCAATTCTGACAAGTACTCTCATTTGTACACGAATTGGGTTTTCGGGTCATCATAAACGAGAATCAGCTGGATTCAGTTAAGCTAGAATGAGGACGTCTGGTGTAGCACATTCATTTGAAGCCGACCACCATAAATGAGAGATCCAGCTGGATTCAGATGAGCCTCTTGTCACAGCCAGATTCCTATGCAAATGAGAGAGAGAGAGAAAGTATTTCTCGAAATCTACCCATCTTAGGGTTCCAGTAGAAAGTTAGCTTGACGGAAACTCGAGGACTATGCCTACCTGGTGACCCCGGAGTGGAAGGTGAAAACAGTCGTGGGCAGTCGGAGAGTTTTCAAGAGCATAATATGTAGCGTGTCACATCTCACGATTTCTCGAACATTATGCCAACTGAAACATAAGGAGGCTTGGTGCAGGTCATCCAGTTGAAGCATACCATCATAAAAGAAAGATTCAGATGGATTCAGTCCAGTCTCCTGTCAAAACCAAATTCGTATGCAAATGAGAAATTTTACGTATGATTGTCCTGTACGTTTTACACATGCTCTGTTGAGTTGTTAGGTGGCGCTACCCGGATCGAGATTGAAACAACCCGCTAAACACAGTAGTACTGCGCGGTCTCCACTGTGTGCTGGAAACGCAAGTGGGTCCAAAGGGAGTTGAAAAAACAACATCGAAATCGCCATGGCCCCGTTAGTGGACAACCATGAAATATTAAACATGAAATATTGTTTAAATGTACCAAATCTCACCTTCTCCTTAGCCAAATCGTGTTCCAACGACTTTATTCGTAGCTCCGCCTCTCGCAACAGGACTTCGGTCTGTGCCCGAACTGTAATAAGTCTGTATCGGAGTAAGGAAGGAAGTGATCAAAAGTTGGTCTAAAATGGTTAACCAAAATAAATTTGGAGATCAGTCTCGCCTGGCAGCAGCTTGCGTTTGTCATATGGTGCTTAGGTCAAACCTGAAATTCTCTAAGGTGATCCCTCGAAATGCGAAAAACAGTAGATATATCTACTCACTGATCAGAACGCAATAAAATCCAGATTACAATTCATACGTTGTGCATCTGTGTTTGATTAAAATTACCACTGTTACTACTATGACCATAATTACAGGACAACTTCGTGGAAAATGCCAGCAGCTGTAAACATCCGTACATCAGTTTTGACCGATTTCTCAAATGTCACTACTTTCAACACACAAGTATATTGTTGAAATCAACAAGATATTTGAGGAGTTTAGTTGATATGGATGGAACTCGTTCGATAATATTGAGTGAAGCAATGCTAAGGTACGGCACCTGATATTGGCTGGATCACATGAGCGCATCCAGTAGGTTTGCAAAACATGCTGCATAAGACAATCTGTGAAGTATAGACCCTAATGAGGGACATGTCGTGTGTGTTCCCAGTAGGCTTACAAATGCTCTCACAAGTTGTGAACTCTTTCCGATCCGACCGATAGACAGTTTTTGTCGCCCTCGTACCATTTTACTCATCAATGCTATGTCAGAGGGATACGTTTACGACATGCAATCGTTTGCACGAGGTCACACATCCACACAGCTACAGGTGAATAAAAGACAGTCAGGTGACGGTCAGGTGAGTGATCATTGGATCAAGGGCGGTGTGACACAAAGACACTCCACACTCCAGTATGAGGTAGGATTGACCCGCTCAAAGTTTCTGTCGCCATTAGCCTTCGTCTACGTTGTTGAGGACTGACATCAGCCTTAGGGTTACAAGTTGATTCTAAATTTAAGATTACTTTAGGATCCGAAACTTGTCATGCACTAAATTGATCAACCAGCATTGAAGGTTCTTAAAGTGAATGCAAAATTGCCGTTTTTAAGGATCAGTATAGTAATATAATCGTTCGAGTATAGCACACTTTCGGTGCCTAATGGCAATGCCACCCGAGGGGACCACGAGGCCTGGGATATTGTCAGGTTGCCGTAGCCTAGACAGGAGAGGGCGAGATGCGGAGGTTGGGTTCGAAGTACAGACCTCCCGGTAAGTACATTCGCGCTCTAACCACTGAGCCATTAATATATATCGGGATCAAACAAATTCTCCTACAAATTTGCCTATCCGCCTAATCGAAAAGTATACAAGATCCACGAAAAGCAGACCTTCAGGGACAAGGGAATGTGTTAAATGAATTGCATTCTAAACAGTGTAGTCTGGATCCTAGCTTAGCAAATTACATTTAACTACACCAGAGTAAGATGAGATATCTGGTTCCGGGAACATGAACACTAGAGAGGTACACATAAAAAACAGCTGAAATCAGATAACCAACGGAACGTGAGCACACATACTCTCTATCGCGCTCTATAAGTAACCTCCTGGTTTGGTCCAATTCTTTCTCCAGTTCACTTTGACGAGATGTTACCTGCAATGAACAGAATTACGGCCACAAATCAACATCACACAGAGTGAAGATGGTTGTAAATTGAGAACAGGATCGATACTTTCAACAAAAATAGCGACAAAGTGCGGACGTTTACCCGCACTGATGTGTCGGATGCATTCTGACAAGATTAGACTCCAATGAGCAGTGGTCAAGCAGAATCATTCCTCCTGGGAAGTGAGTCAATGTTCTGGAATCCTGTAAGCTCCAGCTTCCTACTAATGTAACATTCCTGAATCATTTCGCATGAAGTAAGATCCCCTAACATACGTTACCACACGAAAGTAGTTCATGTCACTCCTCTTCTAGAGGTTCTGATTCTCAATGAAAGATAGGAGATGCTGAAAATTGTGAGCGGCTCTTAATTGGTTTAACACGTGGATTGAAATCTGTCAGGCATCGGACTGCCCATTTGGCACTAATGATGCCACCTCCACTGGCAACGGAACGCTTGCAACCAGATGGCTCAACTCATCGATGAGAACAACAGTAAAATGGGTTGAAGTTACACAAGTGCAGTTCCAGCACGAGTAGACGGCACCAATTTTTTTCGACGGTGTATCGAGATGTAACATATTCTAGTGAGTTTCGCAGACCATTAACGTCATGCGGAACTCACGCGAATGAATAAGCAGACACGCGTTCTAGGAAAGAACGGACAGTTTGCTCACTCTGTTACTGAATTCGCGAGGTTGGTGCCAAAAAAGTGAGTGCCAAAGTTTTGAAATCGGAAGGAAAAAACGATTGGATGAATTGTGTTAAATAGAATTGAGCGTCAACGTGCTCATCCATACGCCGTCGATACAGCCCCTCGTCAGACTGGACAACTGAAAATGAATCAACATTAGCTTACTCATAAGTAGTTCGCTAAATGAACAACTAATAAGTACGAGGGGTCACGCGAACAACTGAGCAGCTAGGGCACACGTGGTGTGGACAAAACTACACACCTGAGAACGCAAATGAGCAACCTACCTTCAACCATAACTGGGTTGTTGTCCTGGGAGCTGTAATACCATTTCGGTAATACCGTTTGTAATACCTAAATGATAATCATTTGAACCTGGTTCGCCAAATAGCGAACTGATTAAAAGCCCAAAACTGCCAGCGCCATCAATGAGCCCGTTCTGTGACAAGGACGCATCAGACCCTGATAGTAACCTTGTATCTAAGGGGCTCAGACGTGTAGTTTTGGAGAGAAATAAGGGAACTTTAGGCTGTAAATGAGTAGCCAGAGTACACGTAACGTAAACGAAATTATCTTTACGGCACTGAGCATGGTAACAGGTGCCTCCACACCCAACCCTGGAGGGAGATCATCTCGGACTGTAAGTCATTCACAGTGATGTCAGAATGAATTCGCTATCACAGTGTATCCAAGGAACTGATCAGTATAGAGCAAAACATGACCTTTGAAACAATTTTTCGAAATATACACGCAAAGCATTATGCAAGGTTTATCAACGACATGCGAGCAACAGGACAATTTACGTCAGCCCCAAAATACACTAGCCAGTGATCAGAATTATCGCCCAACTAGATGGAGCGTAGCCTTCGGAGTCGCGTAACCAACGAAGCTGAGTAAAAACGTCCACAAAACGTCAGCAAGCTGATGCGCGGATAAAAAGGACCTGAATGAATGAATGGCGCAGACCGACTGGCTATCAACTGACCATATATTACCGACTAATCTACCTTTAAAGGAATAAGCCGGACTGACAATACACCATGTCCCAGGTAACCTTTTAATCAGGTGTGAACCGCGCGTGCATTCCTTGAGTTACCCTAGCAACGAAACAATAGCGATCAGGTTGTAGCACATCAATGCGACATGAAGTCGGCCACGTTTGAACAACTACGGGGCCATCTACAGAGTCAGTTGAATGAATTCAAACAGGTGCAGATAAGGCATGTTGATAAGCCGACAGTAAAATAGTCGCAGAAGAATACAGGTGTCTAGACGCCCCCAGATGACCCTCTCATAGACGTACATAGAACATACAGCTGGTAAAACAGAAAAGCGTGCCATAAGACCGAATAAAGCTTACGCAAGAGGTGGCAATGATTGTGGAACACGGCTAAAGCATATCTGTCGACGGTGCGAAGCAAAAATCCCCGAAGAACGAGTCCCATATACAATGGAAAATTCGCTTTAGCAAACGATAGACGTTACTTCGTTCTGTTTTTCTCATTTTGAAGACACAGAATGCTGTCTGCTCGAACACAAAGGACACTGTCATAAGACAACATGAAAAATATCAGCCAACCAGTTTTGATTATGCTAAAGTGCTTTGAAGGTCCGAAGACCAACCGGGTCTTAGGGATTCGCCAGTTCTATTGCATCAGTTTTCGAGAAAGCACAGCAGTTGAATCAACGAAAAATCTATTCGAATACAACCGAACAAGGTACTAATACCCAATAAACTGCAAAATCTTTGGACGATCAACTCGAGTTGCAAATGAACCAATGGCTCGCACAGCACCTAGTGAGAGTTGAGGAGAACACAGGAGTTCAGCTGCCCATCCACTTCATCGACATTATAATAGACGCCATCTGCTTTTTAACTGAATATTTCGAAGTTAGAACAGACAGTGATGCTGGAACGTTTAGAAAGATCCACAAGTTAATGAGCCACTGACCAATTATTTGGTATGTCAGTTTAAGCTGCATTGGTCTTCAGATCATAACAGGCAGAATATAACGATGTGCAGCGGAAAAAAAGTAATAATAGTCATTCATCTGTTAGGCCCTTTCAGTACATAGCACAGAATATAACGATGTGCAGCGGAAAAAAATAAGTAATAATAATCATTCATCTGTTAGGCCCTTTCAGTAAATAGCCGTCGAACCACCCGAAGTACGAGGGCTGGGTTGCTGTCAGGTAACCCAAGCCTAACCAGAAGCAGTCGAGATGAATATGTTTGGTTCGAACAACAGATCTTCCGGTCAGTAAGTTCGCGTCCTAACCACTGAGACGTCCCCAACATGTGTGCAGTAAATATCTGGTAAAACCATATAAAATGTCGGCCACCTATTGTTGTTTTCTGACTGTCTCTATAACAGTTAAACTGTGTCGAACTCAGTTCAGTTTTCCTGACAAGACCTATATAAACTGATACTTTAAACGAGAGCCTACAGGAAGCATCCAGAGCTGGTTTTAGAAAAGAGTACTTCACGAAATATGACAATAACAGTCAGCTGAAACCGACAAAGACGGAAATCGCTTACTGAATTGATGATATACCGATGCTGTTCGGGTCCGATCACTGGAACATCTGGTTGGGGTAATACTGAAAAGCCATCGGTAGCGTCAGGAACGTTAGTGACCCCGTTCAAGGTAGCGGCAGGCTCGTTACGGAGTAGCTGAGTAATTCCGGGTTGTGATGGGGAGGAAGGTGGTTCCAGCAAGTGCTCATGCGAACGACATAAAAATTGGTTGCCACTACCTACCGTGGATGTCTCCTCCACTGGTAGTAATGGTAAGGAAGAGCTGTGTGAAGAACTATCGAAGAAAGGTGTGTTGGGAGAAATCACTGGAAACTGATATCGTGAAGATTCTGCTTCTGAGAACAGTTGTTCGCGGTTTTCTTGGCGTTCATCAGAAATAAAATCTGGCAGACCACCGGATAAAATATCAAGAGTATGAGTAGTCCAAGCACTATGAGAGGTGCAACGCACTAGGGGAGGCAAATCCTCAACAAAATTGCTGGGGTGTACATCAGGTAAAGGCGCAGTAGATGGGGAAGTCACACCTCTTTGTGGGGCGGTAACTTCACTCGGGTGAGAAGTTTGCGTGAAGGCTGATGTGCCAAGAATTTCCTGAGGTGACCTGTGAATCGCGCTTGAAAACCCCAAGCTAGTAGTTGAGATCGTCTCTGCCGGCTGTACATGTGACGGGTTTATATCAGGTGTTGGCGAAGATAAAGCAGTGTGCTGATTCTGTACACAGTCAGGAAGATCTCCTTGAACAATAACACTGTTGGCATCTGAGCGGACCAGTTGAACTGGGTGCCTACGACGTTCTGGATTCTGAAGAAATCGTTTAAATGAATAGGGGTTCATGGACTAGAACGCTGAAATTTCAAAAAAAGAAAAGCAGGTTGTCTTGGTGACTAAAATTCTAGACCAAAGTAAACAGAGATAGCAGCGAATTATCGAAGAATATCAAGTACTGGAGTTGATCCTAGAAAACCGCGGAAACAAGGGTGAGTTGGATGCTACCGGCGGAGCGATCACGGCTATCGTACCCCCGGAAATTAAAATGACTACGGTACATTATCCGGCGATATCGTTGGTGCAACTATCTGACATTACGGATAAAAAAGCAGTGCTGTGCCAACCCATTCAATCCTCTTCGAATGACTTTACCAATACCTTAGGCCCAGTGATCAGTAAGTTTCATACTTGCCCACGTTAGCCATTCGATGACGAAGTCATTGAAACGCTCCCTTATCGCAGGATTGGGAGACCGGACTATGGTGTGATGGTTTGTGTGCCTCCGTGGCTTCCCTTATCGCAGGATTGGGAGACCGGACTTCACTATGGTGTGACGGCTTGTGTGCCTCCGTGGCCCATTGAGCTACACTGGGTGCTATCGGTGGGACGCCCGCAGTCTCTCACACCATGTTGGTTAAAGGCCTGATAAACACAGTCTCCTTGTCCTCCATGTTTGGGTTGGAATGTGTGGCGACATGTATGAAAATGGCAGCGCACTTACATTTGCTGCTGCCTTGCGTAGTAGTACTCCTACTGAGAACATCATAAACGAGAGATTCAGCTGGGTTCCAGGTGAGTCTCTCGAAAGAACCAAATTAGTTTGCAGATGAGTGTATATTCACTAACTCCGAATTCTGTTTTCCAACCCCCTAATCCAGCCTACATAGCTGCCCTTAATGGCCGCATACTAAAGCAAGCAGGACAATAAGCGGCTCTTGCTCGTACACTGGCTTACCTCTGCGTTGATATGTTACCTGCCCAAACAATGATACGGGATGCGAGTACTGTGATTGAACTGACTGCACTCTCATTCTCCCTCAGTATCCGGTTGCGCACCTCTGGTAATGCAGAGACCACTGCAGTTGCATATGCTGATGTGGGTTTTGTATTGACCGACTAAGCGGAAGCGTCTCTACATGATCGAATACCCGTTCATAGTCGCTTCTATGCGGTTCGTTTGGCAGTTTTTGAGGGAATATCGAGAAAGTATTGTCCACCACACCCTGTTTATTGTGCCTGCTTAAACCCCAGCGGACCGTAGCTCTGAATCTGCTACAGATGAAATAGGTGACGTTCTAGGTGCCCTTTTATAACAGATTAAAACCTCAGGCATCGTTGTGGTTGATAGTGACACCGGCACCCAAGTAGGGAGATTAAGCGATCCTGAGGCCGAATTGGGTAGTCGTCTTGGGTTTAACACGAGACTTACGAACAACGGAGATCGAATGCTCCAAGCGTGTGCCTATCACAGTGCAAATTTCCGGAACAGAGGAAATCGCTTGACGACGTGATCCCCAATAACGAACCAGCCCCAAATCTAAATAAACCACACCGCCGTCGGTTACCAGTGGGGAGGGTCGATCACTGCCTACCGCTTTCGTGGAGTCTGACCACGCACTAGCGCGCTGCTGGTTTTCACTGCTCTCTTCAGGCCTAGGCAAAATGCACGCATCTTGCTTAGCCATTGAGCAGCTGGGGAATCTACAGATTAAACGAAACCTTCAGAACTGGTTCTCCGAAAGCCTGTCGGACGGAATGATATCGGAGACTGACGGCCACTGGGAACGGATATCCGGCGTGCCACTCAAAGCCGGAACTTCAGTATCCAATTCTTTACTTGATGGTTGTTTTTCAAGTGCCTTCATCTAAAAGTACCCAACAAAGCCGGCCCAAAAGCTTACAGTACTCCCTTAGTTTATACAAGCACTTTCGGTCAAAATTTCAAATCCTTTACTCACCGAACAAAATGAAATTCGCTGCAAAAAATTGATTTGGGGTAGGCGGAAATGTTGCAGCCAAAAACTATCCAATCGAGTACAAGCGTCCTAAAAATGGTCCCCTATAATCAAAAGTTCAATAGCGAACTCCCGTAATAATGCGTTTTCAAATTGTCTCCCAACCCATTCAAGCCATGGCAGCATTGATAAGACGCCAATGTCCCCGCATGAGTCCCTGCTATACAGAAACACCAACCCAGCCTTCCTGAGAGTAAACCTCATGGAAGTTTTGACACATTATCCCAGTGGTCTGTGAAGAACTATTCTGATGCGAACCGGCCTTGAAGTACTCCCGAGTGGGCGATCTTCCTTTAACGAGAATGTTCTACGAGGTATTCCGGTCGCCTATCACTTTAATACCGTTCTATGTCTGCAGAGCTCCTCTCTTGGACTGTTAACCTCAAGGAAGGTTACACCATGCAGGTTAGCATTAACACCACTTCCATAACACAGACGCTGCTGCGCAGCGGAGTCCAGAAAGTTCTATTATCGGATCGGGACATGCTGAATAGTCCACCGGTGAATCATTCCGTGTGCACAGTTCACACTGCTTGTTACACCGGCTAGCCTTATGTAACCAAAATCAAAGATACCGATAAAAGATGAAACCTTCTTCATGGTTCACAAGAATATGCTAGTATTCCCAGTTTAGTTCAGTTTGACAACTATGAACCATATACAGAGACACGTCAAGTCGCTGTACCTTTTGGCAGCACAGGGTTGTCCAGAGGGATTACAGAAAAGTATGTAGAAAAGGAAAAAAGAAAATAACAAGTTGATCACCAAGAACAAAAATAGATACAAAAATGCCACTGTTTTGGTTTCAAAACGGTTTGACAATCGGTAGTTTTCTACTTGGACAACGTTTCGCTTTTGACACAAAGCGTCAAGTCGCTGTACCTTTTGGCAGCACAGGGTTGTCCAGAGGGATTACAGAAAAGTATGTAGAAAAGGAAAAAAGAAAATAACAAGTTGATCACCAAGAACAAAAATAGATACAAAAATGCCACTGTTTTGGTTTCAAAACGGTTTGACAATCGGTAGTTTTCTACTTGGACAACGTTTCGCTTTTGACACAAAGTTTCATCAGGCCAAGAGAGCAGGTCACAAAATTGGCCAGGTTAAAACACACACAGGGAACCAGTCGGTAAGTCCTATTCAGATAATCAGTGTCAATTAACGGCTCTTGTCGGTTGGTGTGGTTGTCAAAATCTTGCGTTCATGGATTGAGGGGGGAGTTTCAAATAAGTTCTGATCGCTTAATCTTCCACTTCAGGGTGCTTCAACTGACTATTCACCCCGGGTTTCACTGGTAGATTTTGTTTGGTCTTTGTAGAGTTGTGAGTGCTGCGACAGTTCATTTGGGGGAGCGAGGTGAGGTTAAGTGGAATTCATATGATGACTACTCCTTCTGATGACAGGACATCAATATGTGTCAGCTCGAATGATTCAAAACAGTTTTCCACACGCTTGCCAGTTCCACGCCTTCTATTCTGTTAACACTGGGATGCTTGGCGATTTCTACCACCTCGGCCATCAGTCTATGTGACGTGGACCGTAGTCCTCGCCTCAAAACCTCAACATTTTCTAAACCGGCTTTGTATCCCGTGTCCAGTGTATGTTATGCGACTGCCGAGTCCTTTAGTAACGTTCGATATTCATCTGTGTTTCTCAGTGACCTGTGTATTCTCCCCTTATACTCTCCGATTCAGGTGTGAATTTCCCTGGACGTCTGTTCTATATAGACCTCAATGCAGTCACTACACTTGATTTTGTGGATACAGTCCCTAGTTATGTTTTCCAGGAGGGGATCCTTCAATTGCATCAGTGCAGAGCACAGAATGTTTCTTCTCTGGAAAGTTACTCTCATGTTGGCCGTTTTCGGACTCCATCGAATGACCTCCAATGTCCTTGGTTTATATGAAACAACAAACGTTCCAATATATTTCCGGTTGAGTTTCCCGGTCGGTACCATCATCCTTCGTAATTGACGCCTAGGCCCCGCAGCTAGGAGCTCCAAATTTTGCACCGGTAGATCGAAGAGCGTTAAGCATCCTAGAATCGGTGGGCAACATAGTGGTTATAAAGGCAGATAAGGGTGAAGCCACGGTTATCATGAACGAGAGTGACTATCTACAGAAGATCAAGCAACATCTAGCCGAGGGTCCCTACCGGGAGATAGATAATGCGAATTATATCTATAATTACATCTATGATGAATAAGAGTGAAGCTGAAGTTGGCAAATATTCGCAGTCCGAGATAAACCACTGAAAACAAGGCAACTGGAATCGATTGTATCCCGAAGGTTCAATTCAACCACGGCTTTATGGCCTTCCAAAAATCCATACATCAGATGTCTCGGTGAGATCGACAGTAGACGGAATAGGTTCTCCACTCCATGAGCTGGCCAGATTTCTGACAGGTCTTCTAAAACCCCTTGTCGGATAATCTAGTCATCATCATCGACAGCATGACATCAGTGTTCAACACAGATGCTTCACTGCCGTACAGCCATGACTTATTTGAAAGCCTTATTGTGAAGAAAAGAATAAAGGTGGATGGGGGAGGGACTTAGTGCTAGCTTAACACAATCATTCCGAGGTGCCTACACCTCCAGACATTCACTCAGGCAATCTGGACAGAAACTGACAACAAGAACGCCACTGACATCGGTTGGCAGCCATATCTTGTAGTGTCTCCAACCAGGCACAGTGAGGATCACGCGGTCCCCATCCTGGAAGGCGAGTAGCACCGACAGCACCCAAGCGTTTCGTGATCTCCTTCATACTCCTCTGCCAGGTCGTGGGTTGGCCACCCCTCTGTTTACGCCACTCTGAGTTGGGCATGGAAAACAGCACTCCCTTCGGCAAACGATGGTTCGGCATACGTAACACATGTCCCAATCAAAGCAGCTTCTGGTACTGGACACATTATTCAATGTAAGTACCCGTTACACAACCGAAAACACGCTTTCTAACTGCCTCATTACGGATTCGCCGACACCAAATCACACGAGCTATGGTTCTGAGGCAACCATTATCGGACACCTGAAGACGTCTCAGTTCCGCTGCTCGAATAGG